TGCCCGCGCTGGCAGTGGATTTAATGTTGTAATGTATATGGAATGCCATAACGTTCCTTGAGACAGTGGTCGGCACAGACATCGGGCTGGAGGGATGGGCTGCATGCACTGCGGCAGCGTCCAGCCCCCATGCCGTCAGTGTTGATAGGACGAGGGGGAAGTCAGGGAGCCAGAGGAGCCTCGACGGGGCGGGGCAGGGGAGGTAGTGCGGGAATAACTCAGGTGCGTCCGTGCATTCGAACGCGCACTTGTGCTGCTGGAGAATATGCATCCTAGCCGTGGTAGCCCGACCACTGCTGAAGGTCTTGAGTGCAGACCAGCGCCAGCTCGGGCGCATCTGTCTGAGAGCGCCGGCCAGTGCCCCCAAGCGCTTCTGTAGATCTCCCTGTTCCATGGGCTGTTGACGGCCCCAGGCAGGGAGGCGCTTGGCAGGCGTGACCGTGAAAAGGCAATGTGAAGTTCAGCTCGCGTGGCTTAACTGTACAGATGCGTGGGAACTTGGCTCGGAGGTGCGGTTTCGCGACTGCCGCCTCTCTCAGCTCAGTGTGAGCGGCGCGGGCGGCAGCAGCATTGGACTGGTTAGAGAAATGCGATTAAGCTTCCTGGCACATGGGAGAGCGGGAATACTGTGCCCTGGCTGCCTGGGAAGACCAGGGATGTTCCCGTGCACCTGAGAGCGATTCCGCTGCGGAGCGTACATCACAAGCAACAGCTGGAATCTGGGCAGCTTGAACGACTGATGGCGGGCTCCAACCTTCCATGGCGATCAGGTCTGTCATGCGAAAACAGTTCGGTGGCAAGCTCATCACCTTGCGGGGGACAAACTTGTTGCGGCTTGCGATGGATGTATATATGTAAAAGCGGTGGGCGGCTGCGCTGCCACTCTGCATCTGCTGCATTCCCCCGTTGCCACCATTTTTGCCCAGCGACGAGCCTTCGGAGGGCCAGTGAGGCCTCGGGCCCGTGGAAGGAGCCCGAGGATTTGGCTCGCCACGCAACCGAGGAACCACGCCAGGAGGGTCCGAGAACGGCCAGGAGAGCTTCCGAGAGGGCAATGGCAGCAGGGGACGCGACAGGCCAAATGGGCACGATAAAGCATTCGCGTGGCTTCACAGGGAGGAGCGCGCGCCCCTTCCGACGCAGTAAGCAGGGCGGTCACTTGACGCAGAGTGTCGAACGGATTCGTTAGCAGGCCAATGGCGTCAGCGCATGCATCACATAAGCCATTATCCAGGCTCTGCGCGCCGCTCGGGAACTTCAGCCACGCGTCGGGGGCGTAGATGACGGGGCCCTTGGCTAGCGCCCGCGCCCGCCCTGGTGCAGCGCATCTCGGCGCCATTCCAGAGCCGAGCGCGGCCGCGCCGTAGGGCTCACCGTGGAACTTGACGTCGCCGGATGGAGCGAAGCGCATAGCCTGGAAGAGGTACAGCGTGCGCAGACGGGGCGGGGCTGGAAAAGACATGCTTGGAGGCGGCAGCGACGGGCAGCAAACCGGCGCGGTGCTTCACGGCGTCGCAGCGGTCGATGTACTTGTGGATGTTGTCTCCCTTGAGGAAATCCTGCCGGGAGGTATGGGTGCGCTTTGTCACAGCGCTCTTGATCAGTGACTTATCGGTGCCTGGGGGGGCTTTGGCGTCCGCGTTCATCAGCGAGGGCGGGAGGTTGTGCTCGTGGAAGCATTATCAGTGGTGAACTTGCCCTGCACATTGCCGTTCATCAGCAGGGGGGCGCATTCGGAGGTTTTCAGAAAGCGGGTGTAGTACTGGCCCCTGCAGAGCAAAGAGGGGGGATCTTCGCGCCCGCCAAGCGCGGCTACGGGAGCGGGGCATGTATTGTGGCAGTGTGCTGGTCCAGCAGCTGACGGCAGAGTACTGGTCATGCTGGTCTTGAGCTGCAGACTGAGGGGCGACCCGACAACGATGGGGGCGCCCTTCGGCGCGGGCGCGTTGAAGTTGTTGGCGCACCTGGCAACGTCGAGAAGTTCCGCATTGAAGCTGGGAGTGCCAGCATGCGCGTAGCACGGCGCCGACGATCTCAAAGGCGGGGCGCGCCTGCGCGGCTTGTTTGGCGGGGGGGCCACGTAGACGTGGTCGAGCTTCGCGGGGGCAAGCAGCGGCGGGGAGAAGACGGCGAATAACGGAGCATCGGATATCGACAGGAAGACGGACAGCTCGAAAATCGGCTGGCGCGTCTTGATTCCAAAGGTGAAATATATGATCGTGTGGATGCGTGGATGCTGGCTCGGTCGTCCGAGAACAGCGCGGTGTCGCATGTGCCCTCAGCATTGATGGTGAGCTCGGCTGAGGTAAGCATGAGAAGACGGTGCTGTTCGGAGCTGCACCGCTGGTCAGGACCACCTCGAAACCACTGCGCACTTGAATGTCCCGTGTTAGTTGGCGCGGGGCTAAACGCGACGAAGCGATGTTGATGCGCGACGCGAGGCTCAATGCGGCGATATGGATGCTCGGCATGGGGCTCGAGACGATCTGGAAGCTCGGGGCGGATCACGAAATTATACGCGTGGCGGCTAGCAACGCAAGAATAACCAGCAGGAGTGGACGGCGACTCGACCTTAGGTATGGCAGCGACAATGCATTCGGCATGGTTGACATTCATGATGACCATGGGCGCGCTCGCGACAGCGCGCAGGAACGCGGGCAGCTCGACGCACTCAGGGTCGAGCTTGAAGTGAGCGAGGCCGTGGCCCTCCAGGAGCGCGAGCGCGTGCTTTCGTTTCGTGCACTTGGCGGCGGCTGGTTTGTGGATGTGGCCCCTGCCCTCGCGAGACGCGTTGGCGCACGTATTTTCGGGGACGACGGCGGTCGGCACCGCAGCGGCGTCGCGCTGCTGAGGGGCACGGCGAGGGTTATGCGTGCCAGATGGCTGACTCCGCGCCGGCAAAGAGCGCCGGAAGTGGGGGCGCTGCCTCGGTCGATAGACTGGTACTGGGGATTGTCGACGGCTCGCTCGCCCCACTGGAGGATGGCGGGGTCTGCCGGGCCTCGGATACTGATTTTGGCGACGGGCATGGAGCCACAGTGGATCTCTCCATCGGCGCGAAAAGCCCCCCACCGCTGGCGAGGGTAGCGCTGCTGCAATAGCTGAAGGAGCTGCTTGGTCTGGACTTTCGTTCTGATCTGCTTGGGGGACTTGTCAGGGTTGATGTAGATGTCAACTGGCTGGCCTGTCGCGTCAGTTGAGGTAAACCGTTTCCATTGGCCAGCTGCATTGCGCATTGCGCGCGAGAGAGCCAGAGCGCGGGGCGCTGCAACGGCGCTGTCTCCTTTGACTTGTAGGACGAAGCGAAGGGCAAGCTCGCCGCCCCTAAGTTGTTCCGCGCGATTCGGCTGGAGATTGGCTTCAGCAATCCATTCCTGGAGGTCGTTGAGCACCGCAGTCGGAGCCAAAGGGCGCTGGCAGCCCACGACGAAGAGCGTCGGTCCCATTCGGCAAGGCGATTGAGATCTGCGATCGGAGTCTGTGCTTCGGCGAGGGTAAGTGCGTCGCGCATCTTGTCGACATGTTGCACATTCGCTGCTTTTCTGACGCCTGGCGGTCTTGTTCTCTGCGAGTGCGAGCGACTTCGTTATGCAGTACATCCACTCGGCGTTCTGCAGCGGTGTGACTTGTGGTTGAAAAAGGAGGCGGGAACTTTCGCGAGATTCAGCGAAGAGCTGGTCAGCTTGTTCTTGAAATCGGGAGGCGGCAGTGGCGACTTCTCGGTGCATGCGTTCCCGTAGAGCGACATCGAAATCTTTGGGTCTCCCAGGTAGAGGTCCATGCCGTTATTGATGTGCGGGGTGTGGCTCTTGTTGTGATCCAGGAGTAGCGTGTCCAGTAACTGGAATGGCTGGCGCATCAGTGGGTTGGGAAGCAACGGTAGGAGCGATTTTGATATCGCGGGCGAGTTGTTCGGCGGCTGCGGGCCCCAGCTGCTGCTCGACGTACTTGGCGTTGGCCCATGGGTGGTCGCCCTGAAGGGAATCATGAATAGTAGGACCATGTGGTGTCTTCTCGATCTCTTCCGTGGCCACGGCGGAGGTTTCGGGCGCAGCGCTTCCTCCTGATCTGGCTGATCTGCGTGTCGGTGTCGGTGGATGGCAAACAGTGCCCCGTCCTGCTGCTCGGGACTGCTGCTGTGGAGCACCTGCAGGGCCTTGACAGCTGAATCCTGTTATGCCACGGTGTTCCAAGAGTTCGTGAGCAGCGCGTCGGCCATCTCTACGGGGTTCTTCCCGTCGGTGCTGGCGGTCGTCGTGACGTCGATCGTCACGGCGAGGACCTTCGTGGCGTTGGTGACGGTCCTCTCGTTGGCTGCGGGACGTGGAGCCATTGGAGTGGTCGCCCTTGTCCGAGGAAGCGGCGGACATGATGCTGTAGTAGTGACAACGGGTACCAGGGTGCTTTTCAATGATTCGCCACTGGCCAAGTACACTGCAAGACCACCGCGTACTTGACTGACTCTCGTTGACTGGCTCGGAACAATACGCGATGGCTCGATATAAATGCACAGCACTGAACACGATGCGGGTATATGGAAGCTCGACACTGGGCTCGAGACGGACTGGATGCTCTGCACGAGACACACAGCGATATGAAAGGCGGCCTGCAACGCCAGGAAAGAACGCAGGAATGGACGGCAGCTCGTCCCTGGGTGTAGCTGCGAGAAGGTTGGGACTGGCCACGGACTAGCGGTATCCACGCTGCGCTCGCGATGGCGTGCCATCTTGAGCCAAAACTGCTTGAGCCAAAATGGATACGGAAGCGGGAGGAGGAAGAGGAGGAGGAAAAGGAGGAACGAGGAGGAGGAGGAGGAAAGAGGAGGAGGAGGAGGAGGAAAGAAGAGGAGGAGGAGGAGGAGGAGCGAGGAGGAGGAGGAGGAGGAGGAGGAGGAGGAGCGAGGAGGAGAAGGAGGAGGACAGAGGAGGAGAAGGCCCACCTCGCCCCCCCCCGTGGGGTGCCCCGTCCGCTGCCAGGCGGTCGCTCGCCGAGGCGCGGGCGTCGCAGGTGCGTCGCCGTAGCCGCTGGCGGCCACGACGCCCGCGGGCGGCCGGTTGCCCGAGGACTGCTTCGCGGCGCCTGCGGGCACGGCGCGCGCGCGGGGCGGTGCCCCGCGGCGAGAGGCCGGAGGCCGTCGCTGCACGCCTCCGAGTCCGCCCGCGAGAGTCGGCGGCGCGCCCGAGGAGAAGTGAGAACCTGGCACCGCACGTGCACTGCCGGGGGTGGCGGCCCGTCTTCCCATCCCACCAGCACAAGGGAAAGCGAAGTCCCTGAAGACGGGACGGGGTGGGCTCGAGTGGGCATCGTGGCCAGCTCAAAATCCAAAGAGGCAGCACAGCCTCATCGTTCATCTCTTCATTGACTTCGTTCCATGCGTAGCATGGCCTCCCCTCGAGTCATGAGAGAATCACGACGGAAGGTCTTTCTAGATTTTCGGCCTCCAGGGGCACTCGCAGGGATCCGGGAGCGTCAAAAAACGACTCGTGATGAAAACCGGTCACGGAGGAGAAGGGGTCCAGACATCTGGGGGTCGGCGCTGCGAAGAAAACACGACGTCGGGGGAAGTTTCGGGTTCGAGGTTCGGGGTTCGAGGTTTTCGGACGTCCTCGTCGGTTCTCGGCGGTTTTCCAGCCTCAGGATGCTTGCCAGCAGCTGCGCCTCGCCGAGGGCGTTGCAGGGTTGCCATGATCGTCCCGAACGGCCGCTGGAGACCCAAGTCATGACCCCCCAAAACAGATTCGGACTTCGAGGTTCGAACTTCTAGGTTCGAAGTTCGGGGCGTTTGTTGTTTCTCGTCTTCGGCCTCTGAGGGCCGTCTTCGAGCCCTGGGGCCCTCGAAAGTCCATCCGGGGGGTGGGCAACCGCGTCGGATGGACCTCGGGAGGGGTGCGGCAACCGTTTTTGACTGATGTTCTTTGGTCGGGCGTGTCCCCCTACAGGCGGATTTCGGGCTAAAAATTCAAAGTACTCCAAGAAATACACCAACATAGTCAAGCAAATACTAAACAAATCGTCCCCAGACTAATTTTTTCTATTTGGGAATATTCTTTCTGTAGAGGGACAGGCCCAACTGAATTCCCTACCTAGGCTCTGCCTAGAAGGGTTCTTACCGTGTTGGCTTAAAGGGCCGGGCAGTGTTCCACGCCCCGGGCGGTTCCCCCAGGATCCGCCCCGCGGTTCCCCCAGTGACGTTCCCTTAGCTTAGCGTTGCTTATCTGATATTTAGCTTAGCTTATTTCATCTTAGCTTAGTTTAGCTTCATCTTAGCTCAGGTTTACCTTATCTTAGCTGACCTTCATCTTCGCTTCGCCGAGCTTTAGCATAGCAGAGCACAGCATAGCATAGCGGAACGTAGCACAGCATAGCGCAGCACAGCATATCACAGCAAAGCCCAGCATAGCACAGCATAGCACAGCACAGCATAGCATAGCGCAACACATCACAGCACAGCATAGCACCGCGCAGCATAACATAGCATAGCATAGCAGAGCATGGATGTAATTCCCTATCTAGGCTCTGTCTAGAGGGTCAGCTTAGCTTAGCTTAGATCAGCTTAGCATAGCGCAGCGCTGCATTAGCATAGCATAGCATAGCATAACATAGCCAATCATGTCATAGCATAGCATAGCATATCATAGCGCAGCATAGCATTGCATAGCATAGCATAGCATAGCGCAGCTTAGCATAGCATAGCATAGCATATCATAGCGCATCATGGTACAGCGCAGCATGCCGTAGCATTTCATAGCCTAGCATAGCGCAGCACAGCATAGCATGTCATAGCATAGCGCAGCATAGCATGGCATAGCATAGCATAGCAACTAATGCTGCTTTTCTGGGGGCTCCAACTTCTAGGTGGTCTCACTTCTCCCCCAGGCTCACCGCCGAAAGATGAGATGAGCGGCGATCAAGAACGGGCGTTCGCGGGCCGCCAGCGCAACACGCGTCGTTGGAGCTGGGGGCGCTCACGCGCGACCTTCCGCGCCGACATCGGCGCAGACGACCCCGTCCTTGTTCCGTAGCTTTGGTGAACTTCTCTGTCTGGGCGTGATGTCCTCGACTTCGGCCTCTTATGGTGGGACCGCCGCCGGGCCCGGGGCCCCTCAGAGAGGGGCCCCGCACGGAGCACGGTGCCCCCGGCAGGGGGGTGGGGACCTCTGGGGTCCTGCCTCCGCGCCTGCCCGCGAGATGCCTCACCCCTAAGCTGTGCCTGCGCTGAGAGGGGGGCTCTTCTTTGCTCCTCGCATCCGGTGCGGCGAGGCCTCGCCACGCTGCCGCCCGCGGCCGCCTCGTGGCCTCCTCGTGCGCTGGGTGGGTCCGGCGAGGCTGTGCCACGCTGCCGCCCGTGGCCGCCTCGTTGGTGCACCACGCACGGTGTGGGCGTTGGACAAGGAACCATTGGATACGAACCCAGGGTCTGGAAGCCGAGGGAGCTCCAATGCTGGCTTGGCCATGGCTGTCACTGCCGCCCTCATCAGATGAGGAGCCTCCCGTGGTCCGAAGCCTCCTCGGCGCATTCCTCAACCAACGCCCCCACCATACACGGCACCACAGAGCTGACACACGCCGCACAGCTCGCACCACACAACTCACCACACGTCCACGGTGCAAGCACTTACCGTGTGGGATCCACGCTGGCCAACACTTGCCTCCGTCTGGGCGACTCCTTTCGGCCACATGCAGGAGCGACCCTGACCAAGAGTGACCTCTGGTGCGCGACCCTCGGGGGAGCCGCTGGGGGGGGGCCAAACACAAGCGCGCAAGCCGCCACTGCCGCACCGCGCTCGGCGATCGGGGGACCCCGGGGGGGCCCGCACCCAAAGGTCACTCCGGCGAAGGGTCACTCTTCCGTCTGTAGTCGCTTTTGCCTCGATCTCGGCCTCCAGGGGGCCCGTCGCCGGGCCCCGGGATGCCATCGGCAAGCATGGGCCGCGGTGCCCGGGAGAGCAGGGGCGGGACCTCCCCAGGGCTGCGCAGGAGCAGGAAAGAGGTCGGCGGACGTCTGGGTCCGTGCTCCTTCTCCTTCTATCTCCTCCTCCCTCCTCCTCCTCCCTCCCTCCTCTCCCTCCTCCTCCTCCTCCTCCTCCTCCCTCCTCCTCCTCCTCTCCTCCTCCCCCCTCCTCCTCCTCCTCCTCCTCGTCCTCCTCCTCCTCCTCCTCCTCCTCCTCCTCCTCCTCCTCCCTCCTCCTCCTCCTCCTCCTCCTCCTCTCTCCTCCTCCTCCTCCTCCTCCTCCTCTCTCCTCCTCCTCCTCCTCCTCCTCCTCCTCCTCCTCCTCCCTCCTCCTCCTCCTCCTCCTCCTCCTCCTCTCTCATGCCCACCTCCTTCCCCCCTCTTCTCGGATCATCCTCCCGATCATTCAGCCCCCACTCACTCGCCCGAGTGGGTGCTGGAGCTCGGCGGGGGTCGTCACTGTCGCCGACGCCGACGCCGCCGCCGCCGCAGCCGTCGTCGTCGTCGTCGTCGTCGTCGTCGTCGTCGTCGTCGTCGTCGTCGTCGTCCTCGTCGTCGTCGTCGTGGTCGTCGTCGTCGTCGTCGCCATCTGCCGCTGCTGAGGCTGCCGCCGCCCAGATGGAGGCCAGGAGGCAGAATCGATGCTGGTGGATAGAAACTCGGGCTCCTCTCTGTGTGCGCCTGCCCCCTGGAGCATCGAGGGCGGGTGCGTGTGACATGCTGACTGCTCGTGACGCGCAAGGCGCCACGATGAAGCTCGTGCAGGCTCGTTCCATGATCTCACTGTGCCGCTGAAGCCTCTCGGCTCGCCTGCGTGCCCCAGTTTCGATGGTTCTCGACTGCGAACAGCGCGGCCGCACTGGCCGTGCGGTGCCAACACTTCTTCTGTGCGACGACATCGCCTTGTACGTCTGCGCCACCCCGATGGGTACCCGTCATTCGGAAGAAGTGGGCAGAAGCAGAAAGAAGGAATTGTTGGAAGTAGATTGGGTTCCCGCCCGCCCCCTCGAAAAGGAAGGAAAAGGGAAAGGCACTCGATGATTGCAGTACGTGGGCGCCTGAGGCAGGCTGGGATCCTGGAATCCAGAAACACCTGCTTTAACGACCGACGGGTGCTCAGCGGAAGGGGACGCTGATCGACGCAGAGAGAGTTCGCGCTCTCCTGCCACTCCAGTGGTATGCACGGGACACGTGTGCGTGAGACCTGACCGAGCACGGCCACCACACCCGCGCCCCCACCACTCGTATTGGCGAGCTGCGAGTCGCTGCGAGTCAGACCCAGCCTGGCCCACCAAGGCCACTCGATTGCTATGCAGAACTGTTCTAGCTAACCCCTTCACGTTACGGGGCGTGAAAACGACCACAGCCACTGCTTTTCTTTTGTTGCCGCCTTCCAGCCCGCAGAAACAAAGCAGTGGTTGTGGTCATTTTTGTTGAGCTTGGCACCAGGGAAATGACCACAACCACTGCTTCTTTTTCGGCCGGCTGGAAGGCGCTGCAGATAAGCAGTGGCTGTGGTCATTTTCCCGTCCCGCAGCGCAGAACTGTTCTAGCTAGGCCCTCCACCACCCTGCACGCATGCACCACCCTGCGCGAAGGAGCGGCACTCTCTCCCGCAACCACCGTCCTGCCGCCCTCCTGCGCCCCCTACCCCCGCGCGCTCCGCTTACTGGGTAGGTATGGCACGTTTGCGCCGGGACGACCCGGGTATCGCGTCGATGGCCGACCTCGCCCGGGGATCTGCGAGGGCGGGAATTTGTTCATGTCCGCCGCCTGGGAACCGAGGTCCTGGGGACCTCGCGGGCGGGGGCTGCGGATATATGTTGGCCCTGGTGCGGCAAGTTCGTGTCGGGACGACCCAGGTATCGCGTCGATGGCCGACCTCGCCCGGATCTGCGAGGGCGGGAATTTGTTCAGATCCGCCGACTGGGAACCGAGGTCCTGGGGACCCCGCGGGCGGTGGATGGATGTACTTAGGCCCCTGGGGGCCAAAGCACGGCGTGGGCATTGGATACGGAACCCTTAGATAAGGAATCCAGGGTCTGGAAGCCCGTGGACCTCCAATCTCGCATCGGCCATGGATATCACCGCCGCCCATATTGGACAAGGAATCCTCCAGGGTCTGACGCCTCCTGGGAGTACAGTCGGGGCCTTGACCTAAGGAACCCATGATAAGGAACGAGGCCCCTTTTTTCCATCAGTTAAACTTCGATCTCCGATGGAAGACATGAGGAAAACCTGAGGCAAGCTGCGAAACACTTGAGGAACGCGGAGCCCCTCCCCAACGAACAGGGTTCCTTCTTCAGGGCCCCGACTGCTTTCCTTAACCAACGCCCCCACCGCACATACTGCCAAATCCACCGCCCGTGGAGCTCCGCGAACGTCGCTCCTCCGGGCGGTGGTGATGCCCAGATCCCCGCCCCGACGGACCGCCCCGCTCCGACGGACCCACCGTACATACTGCCAGATCCGCCGCCCGTGGAGGCCCGCGAACATCGACCCTCCGGGCGGTGGTGATGCCTATAGATCCCCGCCTCGACGGACCGCTCCACCGTGGGCGATCCGCGGCTCTCCGACGGCGCAGCACGCTCCGAAGATCGGCCGAGTGCGTGGGCCACTGGCGACGCTCCAGCCCGAAGGCCCGGGTGGGAGGAGGAGGAGGAGGAGGAGGAGGAGGAGGAGGAGGAGAAGGAGGAGGAGGGGGAGGAGGGGGAGGAGGGGGAGGAGGAGGAGGAGGAGGAGGAGGGGGAGGAGGAGGAGGAAGGAGGAGGAGGAGGAGGAGGAGGAGGAGGAGGAGGGGGAGGAGGGGGAGGAGGGGGAGGAGGGGGAGGAGGAGCCGCGTCGGCACGGCGCGCAGCGGCCGCACCGCTCTGCTCCGCCTTCGGGGGGGGGGGGCCTGCCTCTCCCGCCGGGACGCAGCTCGCGGCGGCTCCGCGGCGACTCCACGCCGCATCCACGTCGAGCCCGCGTCGGATCTGCGTCGATCCGCACCTGTCTGCGTCGGAGACCGCGTCGGACAATAGACAATTACAGGGGCCTCGGGACACACAGATAAATACACACAAACAAAAGGATTCCCCATAGTTTCCAATACTTTCTAGGTTCTTGGTCTTCCCCACCACTTCCCATATTTTCCTATCTTTTCCTGGGGGGGTCGACGATGAATTGTGTCTGTGTGTTCTTTCCCCTCTGGAATCTTCCACGCACCCATCTCGGCGGCGCCGAGCCCGCTGCGCTGCTGATGCGCCGGGCAGCATGCCGCCGCACGGCTCGTGACACCGGGCCCGGGATCCACAGCGGGAAGGCGTAAGACTCGGGCACGGGGGACTCGGGCCGGCCTGACGGGGGCCATCATCAAAAATGACGAGGCCCAATCTGGAATTTGACGCAGGCTCCCGCTGCAAGCATCCCACGAAAACAGGACCGTCCAAACCCAAAACGCGCTCGTCAAAAAAAAACGTCGGCGAACCCGAGTCCCGGCTTACTCGAGTCTTACGTTTCCCCGACACTACAAATCGCTCCAGAGCGTTCCAGGACGCTCTGGAGGGCCGAGTCGCCGGGTACGTCCCTCAGAACCGCCGGAGCGCAGAGATGCCCGTCGTATCTCGATCCGATGCTGTTCCGATCCTGCCTGCACTTCAGTTCGTGGCTTTTTGTTTATGTTGTTGGCTGGCTCCGCAGACCTCCTCCCGCAGGGGGGGGCAAGGTCCGCGCGCTGCCCTAGGGCAGAACACGCACTGTTGAAGGGGCCCAGGGACACACAAATAGATAGACACAAATCCCAGGACTCTCCATACACCTGTCCATATTAGCAGGGTTTCCGTCTCCCCCCCCCCCACTTCCTATATTTTCGCATACTTTCCTGGGAGTCGACGAGTATACAGGAGAGCCCAGAATCGAATCGATCAGTCGGATCGGCGATCGAAATAAATCGGATCGGCGGCAATCTGCAGCCGAGTCGGGAAAAGCCGAATCGGCAAAAATCGGCAGGCTAGTATGCCTCCAAGACGATATCGGAACTCAAATCGGAATCCCAGGTCGAATCGAATCGGAATCGGAAGCAATCGACATCGAATTGAATTGAATCGGAGGAATCGAAGCGAGCCCATGTTGAAGGCTTCGAACTGGGCACCAACACCAAAACAGGGGGTGCGCTCACCGCTGGAGGATGATCATAGATTTCGGTGTTGATAGCAATATTCCAGCCGCCTGGGAAGCCAGAGGATTGCCACCACCACCCAGATCGGGATCATCTCCCCTCGGTGGAGGCACACCGCCGATCTTGGTGTTGGTGTTAACCTCTGGGCCTGCCACCTTGTGTCTGTGAGCTCTTTTCTTTTGTTGTTCTCTCTCTCTCTCTCTCTCTCTCTCTCTCTCGGCTGCACGTAAGAGCGACCCTGGGCAAGAGTGACCTTTGGTGCGCGGCTTTTCGGGGGGGCGCGAGGAGGCCAACACACAGGTGCGCAGGGCGCTACTACCGCAACGAGCGCGGCGATCGGGGGACCCCGGTGAGCGCGCACCGAAGGTCACTCCCTCGAAGGGTCACTCTTACGTGTAGTCGACTCTCTGACTACCTACCAGACCACCCCAACCCAACCCGAAGACCCCAATTTCGGGTTGGGGGGGGTACGGGTTCCATATGTGTTTTTTCAGTGCTCCCCGACCCCCCCCAACTGGAAATGGAGGGCAAATCGAGGCCTTCGGGTTGGGTTGGGGTGGTTTGGTGGGTGGTGACTCTCTCTCTCTCTCTCTCTCTCTCTCCTGAGCAGTGCCTGCACGCCGGCGGCAGGCTCTCGGGCCGGGCCGGCCCCGCCGCGAAGGCGGAGTGCACGTGCAGCGCACGGGCCGGCAGCCGGGCTCGGGGCGCACATCTCCTCGGAGGCCTCGCAGGACATGGCATCTGCTACGAAGCTTAGGTCGGGCGTGCCTCCCTACAGGCGGGCTTTGGACGGAAAAGTTAAAACACAGAAAAGTACTCCAGGAATGCTCAAACACAGTCAGTCACACATTCGTCCCCAGAGTATTTTTTTTACTGTCTTTGAACATTCCTCCTGTAGAGGGACAGGCGTACGAAGCCCGGTGCAGTAGGGGAACGAACCATGACGTAGACATAACAACTCGAAGGTCCGCGTGGACTTCCCGGATCGACGTTGGGGCCCCCCTGGCGGCGCCTCCAGTGCTGCCCCTGGCCTGGAGCGCGTTCCGCGCGCCAGGGAGGGGGGTCCAGCGCCGATCCGAGAAATCCGCGAGGACCCCTACCAGGGAAAAACTAGACCCGACCAGAGAAAAACTAGACCCGATCAAAGGAAAAACTAGACCCGAGGGGTTATGTTGGCGTCACTGTTCGCTCCCCTGTGAAAGGGCCACCGAGGCGGATTAGGACTACGCCCGGGCTGGACTATGACGGATCAGGACGGCTCTGGGCCGCGGCTGTACCGACACCGATGCTGCATTGGACCTCCCAGGAGTTGCATACGAGCCAAGGGTCCTGAGAGGCGTGCGGTGGTCGCGGCGAGGGGACCGGTGAGGGGGGAACCGCGCTTGCAGGACTGAGCGGCAAGCTGTGGCCGCGCCTATCACTTGCCATCGCTCGGACGTCCACTCCCCATGCGTTGTTCGGTTTCGTGGGCGGCTGTTTTTCCAAGATGGCGCGACACGCTCCAAGATGGTCCAGACCTCCTGGCGCGGCCCTCGCCGGGAAAACTGCACACGCCCGGGAGGTGCCAAGAGCATCATCGGAGAGGGGGGGGGCAACGAGAGCACGGAGCCGGAGAGCTGCCGGAGCCTCCGCTGGAGGAGCTGGCCGGTCGCGCACCTCCGATCTCCTGCACGGGCGGCACCGGCTCCCTCTGCGCCGCATGGGAGTCGGGGAGGCGCGAGCCGACAACGCAATGCCGCCCATTGGTGATATTGCTGCTGCAGGCTCTTTTTCTGTGAATATGTATACATTACAAAAGGAGAAAAAAAAACAAAAAAAAAAAAAAAAAAAAAAAAAAAAAAAAAAACAGCCAAGCTCAGTCTCAGTGAATCCTCTGGTCCGTGTGCGTCGGATCACGCAGCACAGCGCCGCCGAACGACGCTGCGCCGGCAAAGCTGGACGGCGCACTGGCGGTGCTCAAAAGCTGTGGGCTGCACGCAAGAGTTACACACCCTGGGCAAGAACGCCCTCCCTTGCGCAGATGGCCGCTCGCCGCAGGCGGATGCGGCAGGAGCGGCCTGCGCTCTGGGCTCGGCCGCCCCGCCCCCCCCCCGCCCCGCGCCCCCCGACAACCCGCACGCCAACGGCCACTCCGCAAAGGGCCACTCGCACTCTCAAGGGCCCAGGGACACACACAGAGAGAAGTAAATGCACACAAATCCAACACACAGAAATAACTACATGCACACACACACACACACACACATCCGAGGATTCCAAATATGTTTGAATATTTTCTGGATCGTCAGTCTCCCACCCCACCTCCCATATTCTCCCATATTTTTCGGGGGGGTGCAACGATCCATCCCACCAGCCCTCTGGGCGCAGGTGGTTTGACGAGCTTTGCCTTCTCTCTTCCGCCAGCCCCCTCCTTCCCCTGCTCGGGGGAGGGGGTTACCCCTCCCCCTGCCCCTCCCCTGGGTCTGGACGGGGCGCCCCGCGAGGGTTTATGAAGGGGCCCTGGGACACACAAATTCGCCGGCCCAACGGGCCAGAGGCGTGCTAAGATCTCCGGGAACTACTTAACAATAGTTCTAGTTCGCGCGCGCGGGGCAGCCCCTGGGAGCCCCTGGACGAAAAGTACCTCGGCTGACCCCCGGCCGGGTCCCGGGCGATCCCCAGGGGGGAGCTATTTTTCGCCATCCCTCACCAGGATCGTGGCCTCCGAGGGGGTGGCTGCAATCGACTACCCCCCCTCCCGCCCCAAAGGGCCCCCAAGAGCCCCACAAGAGGCCCCAGGGGAGCCCAAGACGCCGCCAAGGAGCCCCAAGACGCTCCCAAGAAGCCCCCAAGAGGCCCCCGAGACGGCCTTAAGAGGCCCCAACAAGCGCTCCAGGGCCGGCGGAATCAGCGAAGCGATTAATCATAAATACGCACAAATAAAAAGGACTCCCCATATGTTCCAATATTTTCGTGCTTTTCGTCTTCCCCCCCACTTCCCATACTTTCCCATATTTTCTGGGGAATCGACGATTAATTGTGTCTGTGTGTTTTTTCCCTCCTGAGTTTAGAGCGTCCAAGATGGCCTCCAAGATGGCTCAAGATAATCAAACATTGCTCAATAGCTTCCGACACACCTCTAAGAGGCTCACGGCCCCGAGATGGTTTCAAGTGCCCTTCGAGCCGCCAAGGGAAGCCTCCAAGAAGCCAACATGGCTCCCAAACCTAAGCAACAACTAACTTGGTTTGCCTTCTCGCACTTTCGCCTCCGATGGGCTCTTGAGGCCTCACAATGGCCCCAAGACAGCCCAAAAGAGCCCCAAGAGGGGCAAAGCAGGACCTCAAGATGGCCCAAGAGCGCCCAAGAGCGAACCAAAGACGACACCAAGACGGCATGTTTTGGCCTCCGAGGGGGGAGCTGGATTTAGACCCCCCTCTTTTTGACTCGTGGGGGTCCCGATGGCCCCAAGAGGCCTGCTAGACCCCTCCAAGGACCCCCGGAGAGCCCCAAGACCCCCAACATGAGCCAAAAGAGGGCCCCAAGAGTTACCCAAGATGCCCCACTGAGGCCCAAAGAGAGCCCCTAAGATGGCCTTCGTCGTCCTTCAAGAACCTCTCACAAAAACATACCTCCAAAGCCTGACTTCTCATCCTCCTTGTCATAGTTCGTCCCTTCCCTCCTCCTTTACTGCCTCTTCCTCCTCCTCCTCTTCGTCCTACTCATCTTCCTCGTGCCGCATTCCTCCTCCTCCTCCTCCTCCTCCTCCTTCTCCTGCTCCTCCTACCTCCAAGATGGTCCCAGGAGGTCGAGCATGGCTCAAGATAGCCTCTGACAGACCTCCAAGATGCCTCAAGACAGCCACAAGACGCATCAAGATAGCTGGGCACGGCTCAGGATAGCCGCCGACAGCCTCTAGCCGAACATGACTCACGATAACCTCCAAGGGGCCTCAAGAAAACCTCCGATCGTGTCTGGATGGGCTGGTGGGGATACTTTTTGATTTGCGGCCCGCAAGGAGAAGTCCAGAGGGCGGTATGACCGAGGCTGGGGCACAGCGCAAGATAATTGGCGCGAGAACGCGCGAAATGCACCTGCAAAACAAATTAGGAAGAGGGGCGGCCACAATTGGGCAACCACCGAACACAAGCCAGACCCGCAGGTGGGGCCGGACCGGAACCCTGCCGGAGTGCACGCGGACCCAAGCACAAGCCGCTGGGCGGATGCCAGCGGAAGAGAGGCGGCCACGGAAGGGCAGACAGAAAACAGGCCGGACCCGCAGGTGGAGTACCGACCGGCATCCAAAGAAAAGGAGCGGGCTGGTGGGGATACGCCAGGCGTCAAGAATTGTTCATCTGTGTTGTTTCCCTCCTGACTTTCGTGTAGCCGATTCCGCGACTGCCACTGCATCCACAGCCGGCATCCGCTGCGTCCTCGAAGTGTCCTGTCCTAAAAGGAGGAGGAGGAGAAGGAGGAGGAAGAGGAGGAGGATAGGAGGAGGAGGAGGAGGAGGAGGAGGAGGAGGAGGAGGAGGAGGAGGAGGAGGGAGGAGGAGGAGGAAGAGGAAGAGGAGGATAATGAGAGGAGGAGGAGGAGGAGGAGGAGGAGGAGGAGGAGGAGGAGGAGGAGGAGGAGGAGGAGGGAGGAGGAGGAGGAGGAGGAGGAGGAGGAGGAGGAGAAGGTGTCCTCACGAGACTGACCCCCCTCGGCGGAGCTGCCCCTCCCGTCCTGCTTCCGCCGCCTTCCGCCAGCGCCGTCGATCCCCGAAGGCGAGCCCCACTCCCCACCCTGCGGAGTGCCCGGGCGGCACCGAGGAGCCACGAGAGCGGCCTCGTCGGGGCGCCGAGAGGAGGGCCCCCCGACGGGGCCGCGGGGAGGCGCCAAACAGTGAGGGCGCGCCGCGGGACGCCCCAGATTGGGGGGGGGGGGGTCCGGGACCCCCCACGCCGCCCCGGGGAACCCGCCCCCACCCCCCCCCCGATGGCGTCGTCCTGGAGCGCTCCCCCCCCATCCCCCCCTCCAAAAGAAGGGGGGGGGGGCTGTTTGAACCCCCTCCCCCCCTTTGGCCACGTCACGCGCCCAGCTCTGGAACCCTAACCCCTGACCCTACCGCCCGAACCCTGACCCTAACACCCAAGATCTGACACCCCCAAACTTGACACCCTAACCCTAGCGCCAAAACCCGAACACCCTAATCCGAACGCCCTAACATCCTAATCCTAACACCCAAACCCAAACCCTACCGGCCTGAGCCGTAAGCCCTAACCCTGACACCCTACCCCGAAACCTACCGCCCCAACCTCGAACCCTAACGCCCTACCCCTACCTAGCCCTAACACCCTACTCCTAATCCTACCGCCCTAATACAAACCCTGCCACCCTAAGCGTAACACCCTGACCCGAATACCGATACCCTAACACCCTGGTCCTAACTCTATACACCCTAACTCTAACATCCTGGCCCTAACATCCAAGCCCAAACTCCCTAAACCTAACACCCGAACTATAACACCCTAAACCAAACACCCTAAACCAAACACTCTAACCCTACCCCCTTATCCTAACACCCAAAGCCTGACACCCTAACACCCGGAATACAACCCCTAAGCTCTACCCCCTAAACCCTAAACTCTGAGTCTTAAACCCTAGACTCTAACACTTCAGCCCTGAGCCGTAAGTCATAATCCCTAAGTTCTAGCACCCTAATGCCAGGCTTTGACTCTCAGCCCTAAGGCCCAAACTCTAAGGCTCAACCCCAAAGCCCTAAGCCCTGAGGTCTGGGTGGGCGTACTCCTTAACTCCGCCGTGCTTCCCAAGAGCCCACGAAATTCACGAGGGTTGCGCAGCTCGCAGCCCCCCAGGGAGTTGCGGGGTCATGGCCGGGTGCGCGGATCCCACTCCTCCGCCGTGCCTCCAAGGAGCCCGTGGAAGTGGCGACGGCTGCGCAATTCGCATTCCCCCAGAGAACTGCGAGGTCCTGGCTAGGTGCGCATACTCCCCCACTCCGCCGTGCCTCCCAGGAGCCCACGGACGTAGCGACGATTGCGCAGCTCGCACCCCCCAGGGAGCTGCGAAGTCTCGGATGGGTGCGCGTACCCCTCCACTTCGCTATGCCTCCTAGGAGCCCACAAGAGTAGCAACGGTTGTGCAGTTCGCAACCCCCCAATGAGCTACGAGGTCTCGGCTGGGTGAGCGTACTTCCCTACTCCGCCGTGCCTCCCAGGAGCCCACCCAAGTGGCGTCAATAGCGCAGTTCGCAGCAACGCAAAGAGTTGCGAAGTCTCGGCTCGGCGTGCGCACTCCCCTACTCAGCCGTGCCTCCCAGGAGCCCACGAAAGTGGCGGCAGTTGCGCAGTTTGCAGTCCCCCAGGGAGCTGCGAAGGAGGAGGCAGGAGGATGAGGGAGGAGAAGAAGAAGGAGTGGATAACACGGTGCTCTATTCAAAACGAGAACCCATCACAAGAGGGTTAGGGAGCAAACTATGTGGCGCATACTGGCTGCTGTTACCATCGCCTTCTCAAGCCTTCAACCCCCATGGTCCTAAGTAACTTATATGTTACTCTGAGCTTCCCCGGTCTACAACCAGCTCCCCAGGGATATCCTCGATATGATAGACTCGCAGTTCACAGCCGCCCAAGGATGGCGAGGTCGACCCTAGGTCTGGGTAAAGCGTCACTCCGCTGTACCTCCAAGGAGCTGTCGAAAGTGTCGACGGTTGCACAGTTCGCAGCCCTCCGGAGATGGCGAGCTCTAGTGTAGGTCGCCATAAGGCGTCACTCCGCTGGATCCCCCAGCAGCTTTCAAAAGTGGCGCCGGCTGCGCAGTTCGCAGCCCCCCCCCAGGGATTGCGAGGTCGAATGTATGTCTGCGGAAGGCGTCACTCCGCTGGACCCCCCATCAGCCTCGAAAGTGGCGACACCCCGCTAGTGTCTGCATAAGGCATCACTCCGCTGGGCCCTCCAGCAGCCTTCACATGTAGTGACAGTTTCGCTGCTCGCAGCCCCCCAGGGATGGCGAGGTCTAATCTGAATCCACCTAAGGCGTCCCTCCACTGGCCCCCCCAGCAGCCTTCAAAAAAGTTTACGGTTGCGCACTTCGCAGCCCCCACCTCTAGGGATAGCGAGGTCTAGTGTAGGTCGGCGTGAGGCACCTCTCCGCTGGACCCCCCAGCAGCTTTCAAAAGTGACGACGGTTGCGTAGTTTGCAGCCGCCCCCAGGGACGGCGAGGTCTACCCTTGTCTGCGTAAGGCGTCACTCCGCTGGACCCCCCGGCAGCTTTCAAAAGTGTCGACGGTTGTGCACTTCGCAGCGCCCCCCCCCCCCAGGGATAGCGAGGTCTATCTACTATGAGGCTGCGTAAGGCGTCACTCCGCTGGACCCCCCAGCAGCCTTCGAAAGCGGCAACACCTTGGCAGGTCGCAGCCACCCAGGGATGGCGAGTTTGAGTCTAGTTCTGCGTGAGACGGCACTCCGCTGGACCCCCCCCGCAGCCCCTCAAGATGGCGATAGTTTCTCAGTTCGCAGCCACCAGGGATGGCGATAGTCCAGCTTGGGCTGCGCAAAGCGTCGCTCCGCTGGACGCCCCAGCGCTCTCGAACGTGCACTTCGCGCCGCCGATCCCTGTCCCAGGAGAAACCCTGCGCGCGCGCGCCCGCCGACCCCCTCACCTCCTCGCGAGTAACCCACGCAAACCGCTGCCCCCTTCGACCGCGACCTGAGAGCGGCGCCCGGGGAATCGACGGCGAGGCAGAAGGCAGGGTGGCAGGCAGGTCGGAAGGGACAGGAGGAGGGGGGCCGGAGGAGGAGGTGGCGACCGCAGTGCTACTCCAAGCGAGAACCCAACGCGGGAGGCATGGGAAACTCAAAACCATCTGGCTCACATCTGCTGATCGGAACCTCGCCTTCCCAGGCCTTCATCCCTCACGATTGTGTTCAACGATTATGCTCTTCTCCACATGATCTAAACATCGCCTTCTGAATCCCTCAACCCTCATGATCCTATGCGAAAACATGTGTTTCTGCACACGCCCGATCTAGACCGTTCACGATGCGATGCACATCTGCTGATCTCAACATCGCCTTATCAAGTCTGCAACCTTCACGATCCCATGCAAATGATACGTGTTTCTGGACGCCCGCAGTGTGAACCTCTCACGATGGAAATCTGTGCCGCTCACGCTTCGCTAACTAGCCTGACACAGACGTTCCCCCCCCCCCGAACCCTCTCCGGCGCCAAGGGAGAGAGGTTGTGCGAGCACACACACAGACACCCTTTCCAATTAGAGGCGCATTCGCCGGCGCTCGTTCTCAAACAGCTACACTGGTTCGACTGCAAGCGCGTCGAGACATTCTCGCGAACACTCACCGATTCGGAAGCCTGCGCGTTAGGTCTCTCCTGGGGGCCCGCTGTGACCCCATAGACTCCAGCTGCGACATACAAGTGTCAGTTCCGATCCTCGGTGTCGACGCTTGTCGTGGTGCGGCCCAGAATCGTGGCCGAACAGAACAGCACGCACAGTAAAGGAAAGTGGTGACTCGAGAACCCAGCCAGCCAGATGGCGTAGGTGGTTTATGGCATCAGCTCCCATCATGGGTTACCCCTTCTTCACATTCGAGGGGGGCGCCGTCCCTCACCATACCCCGCCCTGGGAGTCTGGACGGGGGGGCGGGGGGGGGGTCTAGGAGCCATCGGAGCGTCAAAGTTGGTGCTGGATGGAGTTAGGATGGCCCCCGATATGGCACAGGACTGCCCAAGCTGGCCCATCATGGCCTCCCCCCGTGTATCCGTTCCGCTTCGAGAAATCCGCCGACCCGTTGGGGTCACGGTGTGTGAGATGCTTCCCCCTCCCCAAACCCCTCCCCCGGGGGCCTGGTCCGGCCGGTTTGGAGGGGGGGGGGGGGCCAATCCATCATCCGCACACTTGGAGCCTCAGGAGGCCCCAAAACGAGCCAAAAAGATTCCAAAGGTTTTCGAAACGGTCCAAGAGAGCTACGAATCGACGAGAGATCGCCCCAAAACGCCGAAGATTGCCTCCACGCGGCTCCATAAGTCTCCAAGACGTTTGAAACAATATTACAAGGCGCCCCAAAGAGGCCCTCCAGAGGCAAAAATCGTCCCATTTCCTACGGGAAAAAGTAAATTTTCACCACATTCGCCGATTCGGCTTCCATGCGGCGCAAAACGGCCCAAGAAACCTCCAAGATCGATTCTCGCCAGCCCAAGAGGCTCCCAAAAAGGCTCCAAGACGGCGTCTGGGCGATCCACGAAGGACCCAAAAACCATAGCAACGGCTTAGGAAAGCCGCAGGACGGTCCCAAGAGGGCTCCAAAACGGGGCGATAGGGCCCCCAAAGGCTGTCCGGACGGCCAACGCGGGGGACGATTCGGTCCAAACCGCCCAAGATCGCCGCCAAACGGCCCTATGGGTGTCCAAGACGTTTGAAAACGCGACCACGAGGCGCTCCAAGAAAGCCTCCAAAAGCAAAAACAGTCACATTCCCGAGATAAAATGTAGATTTTCAGCACATTCGCTTCTTGGTCTTTCACGAGGCCCACAACGGCCCAATAAACCTCCAAGATCGACCCCTTTTACCCGAAGAGGCTCACAAGAAGGCTCCAAGACGGCTTCCGTGCGATCCAGGAAGGCTCCAGAAACCATAGCACGGCCCAGGAAAGCCGCAGGACGGTCCCAAGAGGGCTCCAAAACGGGCCAAGAGGGCTCCCAAAGGCTGTCCGGACGGCCAACGCGGGGGACGACTCCGTCCAAACCGCCCAAGATTGCCTCCAGACAGCCCCATGGGCGTCCAAGACGCTTGCATACGCGACCACGAGGCGCTCCAAGCAGGCCTCCAGAAGCAGAAACCGCCACATTCCCTGGGGAAACGTACATTTTCAGCATACTCCATACTCGCTTCTCGGGCTTCCACGAGGCCCACAACGGCCCAATAAACCTCCAAGATCGACCTCTGGCACTCCAAGAGACTCTCCAAAAGGCTCCACGACGGCCTCCGGGCGCCCCACGAAGACCCCAGAAACCATAGCAACGGCCCGGGGGAACGGCAGGACGTTCCGAAGAGGACTCCAAAACGTGTCTAGAGGGGCCTCACAGGCTGTCTGGACAGACCACGCGGGGGACGATTGCTGCCGCCCCGAAGGGTCGGCGGTGTCGGCTTCCACATGTCCTCGGAGGTCTTGGGGGCCCAAAGGTGGCCCAACAGGGCCATCTAAGGAGCTCAAAAGGACCCCAAGAGGGCCTCGAAGCTCACATGCGAAGCCTTCTATAACCCCGAGAGGGCCTCAAGCTGCAATTCCATGAGTTCCAGGAGAGCCCACTTTTGGCAGACTGACTCCGATGTATAGCTCCCAAGAAAGGCGCGGTGGTAGGACCGAGCGAGCCCCAAGAAGGCTTCGACAGTCTTGAGCGAGGCTGCAGGAGGGCTGCAAGAAGGGGGAATCGAGTAGGGGATCGACTACAGAACTGATTTATCCCAAACTTACTTTCCCCGCCGGATCCACGAACTAACAATACAATGTCACGTAGATCTACGAACAGTATACGTGTTGTTGCTGCAGATTCGACGGCAAATCAACTGTGGAGCAAATCGAA